CCCCTTTATTTTTGAAAATACCAACATACAAGCTAGATAATCGCATTTTAGTATATAATACAAGTAGCTTATTGTAAACTTCAAAAAGCCTTATATAAATACATATGCACACTACATGTGCAATAGTAAAAACACACTGTAGTTTATAGTTTATACCACTCGGGACACTTTAAAGTGTACATTGTGTGTACAAATCAATAGGTAAAATGATTACAAACGTATAAATGTTTGATAAGTTTAACACATTACTTATAGGAACCATTGATCGTAAATGGTCCACGTAAAGAGCTTTTCAAACATATCTCTGTTACGGCGTTCACGATTCATATATTGATTACGACTCGGCCATTGTGTCGCTGTTAATCTACTATCGGATTAGCGTTTAGCAATATATACGCTTAAATGCCGTATAAAATGTCTGTAAAAAGTACAATTGTAAATGCAATAAGAATTGTTATTGTACGGATTTAACAAAAACTGTCAATACACTAGAAACGGCAATCACATTTATTGAATAGTATAAGCGGTGAAATAAAATTTCAAGTAGAATCTATTAAATATGTAATGAAAAGAACGAGAAAACGCTATTGAAATATTAACACAATAAGAGATTCTCCTAAATGGGCACAGCAAAAAATATCTTTTAAAGATGAATTAATTTTCAACAGATTCAAATTTACATGAATTTTGAGGTTAAAAAAGCAAATAATTGGCAGCATAGCGTTGGGTGTCAACATGGTTATATAGAAATCAGACAAAATCATTTAATTGTAATTCATTATTAAAAATCATTATCGATATTCAGTTTTTTACAGAGAGATACGTACAAAAAATCTTCTGTTCTTAAAAACTAGAAATGAAATATATTTTTATAGACTTTCTAGGCTGATTCAGACATAGATAGGTCTATAGGCCTACACACTTCTGATAATTCAAACATTTCCTATGTTTCCTTATTTACTGCATAACATATATCTAAATTATACTTTAAATCGGGTTGATTAGAAAACAACGAGAAAAAGATAGTTACCTGGACCGCATGTTGTTGTTGTCCGACAATGCTCGTCGGGGAGTTTGTGGCCGGCGGTATCCATGTCCATTCGTCGGAACGACGGTAATCTAGGATGGAAAAGTCCATCTTTCACAGCCGCTAACTGGACCTTCTGGAAGGCAGGATACTGGTATGAGTAGCTGGGTATATTCATCGGGTTTACCCGCTCAATCTTCACTGGTTCGATACCTACGGTGGTCATTTTTTTTTAAAAATAAGTCCTCGATTTAAATACCTCTTTGAAAATTAAATTACAAATGATTTATACAGCCGCGACAAATCAATGAATTCTTTAAATAAATACAGATAAAAATCCCGTTTAAATAACGTATCTGTAGTAAATATAATAAAACTTGAAGCAAATCTTATCAATATAGCGCGCCACTAAAAACCCCAGGAGGTCGACGTCGTAGTTACTGGCGACGGTCAACAAGTAAACGTAATAAATCGGCTATATTCGGATATTTCCGTTACATTGTTTCGCGTTGTATGTTAAGTATTGACGCTTTATGAATAACAAAAGTTTCTATATCATATCGATTACATATTTAAGATCTTAAAATACTTATATAACCTATACAGCAAAATTTGTAAAAAAGATAGGACAAATAAATGTGATAATTGTACTAATATCCATTTAAACCGTTTAGTACAAGGTCGATTTTAATTGAAAATAAATAATCTCATCAAAGATCATTTTTGTAAAGAAACTAGAATCAAATTAATCCACCAGATAGGGAGCATATTGGCATGCTTAATAATTAATGTTATTTAAATGGTGGGAAATTTACATCTTACAAGTACATGCAGCAATTGAGATGCTCCGCGCAAAAAAGCGCTCATTACAGATACCTTACCAAATCAATCCTAAGCACAGGTCATTTCCTATTTAGATTACGTACAATTATTGAACATTATTATATTCCGGATGTTTTGTAAATCATTTAAATTTGCATAATTATACTTATCGTATGCACTGTCCATGAGAGAGAGCCAGATAATATGTTTTCACTGATGCCTACCTGGTAAGTAAAGTAATTTCAATACAAACACGACTTACAAGACTTGTAATATGATATGACGTTAGACCAACATTGTCTGTTTGTTACGGTGTTCCGTTTGTTACGGTGTTCCGTATGGACAGTCGTGATTTTTAATTTTGTCTGTTACCGCGATGCACGATGGTACGATGGTGAAAACGCGATGTCACGATCGTACCTTCGTGATTTCACCATCGTACCATCGCGTTTTCAACATCTTACTATCGCACCATCGCGCCATCGTGTTTTCACCATCGTACCATCGGATTTTCACCATCGTACCATCGCACCATCGTGTTTTCACCATCGTACCATCTGGTTTTCAACATCGTGTCATCGCGATGTCACAATCATACCATCGCGTTTCACCATCGTGCCATCGCAAATTTCACCATCGTGCCATCGCGTTTTCACCATCGTGCCATCATCATGCCATAGCGTTTTCACCATCGCACCATCGTGTTTTCTCCATCGTACCATCGGGTTTTTACCATTCGTGCCATCGCGATTTCACCATCGAACCATCGCGTTTTCACCATCGTACCATCTTGTTTATTATCATCGTGCCATAGTGTTTTACGTCATCGTACCATCGCGTTTTCATCATCGTGCCATCGCGATTTCACCATCGTACCATCGCGCTTTTACCATCGTGTTATAGCGTTTTTACCATCGTGCCATAGCGTTTTCGTCATCGTACCATCGTGTTTTCATCATCGTGCATCGCGTTTTCACCATCGTGCCATCGTGTTTTCACCATCGTACCATAGCGTTTTCATCATCGTACCATCTTGTTTTCATTCGTCGTGCAATCGCCGTTTTCACCATCGTGCCATCGTGTTTTCACCATCGTACCATAGCGTTTTCAATCATCGTGCCATCGCGCCTTCACCATCGTACAATCGCGTTTTCACCATCGTACCATCGTGTTTTCACCATCGTACCATCGCGTTTTCACCATCGTACCATCGCGTTTTCACCATCGTACCATCGCGTTTTCACCATCGTACCATCGCGTTTTCACCATCGTACCATCGTGTTTTCACCATCGTTCCATCGCGTTTTCACCATCGTGCCATCGCGCTTTCACCATCGTACCACGCGTGCTTTCATCATCGTTCCATCACGTTTTCACCATCGTGCCATCGTGTTTTCACCATCGTACCATCGCGTTTTCATCATCGTGCAATCGCCGTTTTCACCATCGTATTATACCATCGCGTTTTCACCATCGTAGCATCGTGTTTTCACCATCATACCATCGCGTTTTCACCATCGTACCATCGTGTTTTCACCATCGTACCATCGCGTTTTCATCATCGTACCATCGTGCCATCGTGTTTTCACCATCGTACCAATCGGGTTTTCGTCATCGTACCATCGCGTTTTCACCATCGTACCATCGTGTTTTCACCATCGTACCATCGCGTTTTCATCATCGTGCAATCGCGTTTTCACCATCGTGGCATCGTAACCATCGCCTTTCGGTCAGTATTATTATTACATATACAGAAAGATGTCAGATTATGTTACGGTAGATAATAAATACGTTTAGAATACTTGATATTTAATTTGAGTTATAAATAATAAAACCTGTTATCTTTACATTAAATTTTCCATTTATGTCGTGATACTGTATATAGATCAACGACTATTTAATATATGGTTATATGCTATATATATGTTAGCATTTTCTCTCTTGCTTTATTTAATATATCAACTTGAAACTTTATATGTAGTGTTAAAGGATTACAGCATAATATAAACAATTTTCCGGAGAATATAAATATTTGTCAGAAAAATAAACAATTCTAGATTTTCATACAACCTAAGTTTCTATGTGTCGTCTATATTGTTATGTGTGATCAAGAAATACGTTTCTGATTTGCAAAATACAAAAATTTAGACAATGCCAACAATGTTTTCTTTGATCTAGATGATAAAAGATTATCAAATTTATACATGTTTGGCCAATGACAATAGGGCGACAGCACAAAACCACGATGGCCTTAACGGAATTCCGTATACTAATTATTTAAAGATTAATTTCAATTCACGACTTCAAAATTTTTTAAACACAATGTCCGGTAAATTTAGTTGTTTACACGATTTTTTCCTTCTTATAATGCCCTACTTTAAAGACACATTTCTACGGTCAAATGTTTAATTTCATGTTTGATAAAGTAATGTTTACGTGTATTTAGAGCCCAAAATTGTTTGGGTAAAATTCCATTCTTTTTTATTATTTTAAATAAAAGTTACAGCGAAAAAACATCATATTTTGTCCGGTAATGTGTAGGATCCCAGTAGACAATAATTATTTTCTTATCGCACACAAATATTGTTTATGATGAACAAATATTCAGCAGGATTGAATAAATAGTCAGGGGCGTATCTCGGCTTATTTTGAGTGTACGCCGAGTGCAGGTCTTTGACCGAAGGGTCGCCAGAGACTTATATATAAAATATAGCTAGATATGTGCCAAAACAAGGGATTTTAGGGGATATGCTAAGCTAATTGTACTTCTATTCGTCTGTATTTATAGTTATGAAAATAACATCAAGAACATGGTATTTGAATGAATAAGAAAAATTTGCACGAAGTCTAAACACTAGACAACGTTTTAAAAACAGTTATTTAACTATTAGAAATACAAACATAGCCAGGCTGTCACTATTGTAATAAAAATGTTTAACAAGTTTTTTTTTTTGTTATTTTTTTGTTTCATGAGACATGAGATAGAATCAAGGAAAAAATAATAGTTTTTGAAATGATCCGTATAACGACAATACAAACAACAACAGCTTAAATGTTTTATTGTAACAAAAAGTTATCATATTTATCAGCCTAAGATGTAGTATAGGCACTGATTCATTTAGGTCCTTTAAAAATATTTGTTTAAAATGCGTATTATGTCAATGTTGAAAGATCCAATTAATTAATATTGACTTTAAAAAGTTTTTATTCTCCAACTCTACCTTTCAGTTTCCATTTGTAATATTTAAAGCAATTTCATTTCGAAGTTACACGCCTTATGGACAAAGATGCTCTGTAAGAGACACATTTGTCTCGGAGCACATTAATTTTTCTCACGAAGTGTGACCGATGTGTTCGTAAACATTCATATTTTGCGACAAATTTGAAATGAGACAGATGTGTTCGACACACAATAGAAAGGACACTCGAAGCACCTTTTCTCTCAATCACCCAAAAAATTCTTAAAAAGGTAATAAATTATGTCATCTGTATACTGGCTGCCAGCCATTGTTCTGTGTTTTTCCTGTAGTTATAATACCTGTTTTTAGATCATTCCGGACAGCAAAAACTTCCTGCCTCTGCATAGGAAGTCATATATTAAATTAAAGAATACCCTGTGCTGCATGTCACAATGAAAAATTTCTACAAGTGGTAAGCACCAAACCTAAACACATATGCAGCATGTCTATTCTTATCGTTATTAATTGTGACACGTTTTTTACAATGCTTAAAGTTTATATCATGATTTTTTATGGCACTAGAAATATCTAAGCAAAAACAATGGAAGTACTACGGTGGCATAAAGGGGACATACAATTTTCTTATTTATTTACGTGCGCACACGATAGCTTTTACGGTGGCCTCGCGATACTATTTACGTGCGCTACGCGATAGCTTATTACGTGCGCACGGATGTGGAGTCGCGGGCGGATATGTATTCCACATTTGGACCCTGACCTGGATCCTCGCATGAATAGTTCGACGCCTCGTGTATGTGTCGAACCTACAGCGGTTAGGGGCAAGTGCTTTTTTGAAATCACTCGGCCACGGAGGCCCTTAAATGATCTATGGAAGAAAATAAGAAGACCATTACACACGTATTTTGTTTCATCAGAAATATATGTATAACAAATCGTCATTTTTCCCCAAGAATTGTCGGGCACTTACAGCAGCAAGTTACTAAAATAATCCGGGTAATGCCAAATTATGGAAAATCGGGGTACTCAGAATCGGGCGAGACGCCCACATTCCGATTTAGACACGAAGCGAGGGCCGAAAATTTTAACACAGAAACTACCCAAAGGAAAAATTCCCCCTACCCCCCGAGATTTTTAGACTAAATGAATAAATTTTTTCTTCTTTTAAAATAGGTTTAAGTACCCCAAAAAACAAAAAATGATTTTTGGGGAAAATTGGGTTGTTTAAAAAAAAACCAAAATTCCCCCATTTTAAAAAAAAAATTTCGTTAAAAGTAGCAAAAATTAAAAAAAAGTTTATTTTACTTAAATACTTCCCAAATGTCAAACCCCAAAAACCCGCCCCAGATGAAAAAATGTACGGTAAATTTTTCCCCCTGGAAACGGGGTATAAAAATATTACCAAAAATTAAAAAACTTTTGAGGAAAACCAAAATTTAAAAACCCTTTCTCAGGGAAATGGGGGCCCTTTTTTGTGGGTTTTTATTTTAGACCTTTTAAAGGGAAAACTACTTTTTGCGGTTTTATGACCCGGAAAAACCAATTTTCTCCCCCGTAAAGAAACCCCAAAAAATTCCCAAACCCCCAACCGGGGGGAGATTTTGGCCCCAGATGCGAAAACGGGTCA